CCGTTCCCCACCTTTGTCCTAGCCACAGAAGTTGGCTGGGCGATTCTGGGTTAATCATTCTCTCAGATCAAGATTCCACTTGGAAGTTGAAAAACCTCCATGTATCAACCCACATTAGACCAGCCTCCTGGAGTTCCTAAACTTCTATCAAGAGTGTTTAATACTGCAGTGAATTCTTCAGGCTGAGGATCATAGTAATAAATACACACACACACACTAACACAGACCATTGACAACCAACGGCACCTCAATTAATTCAAAGCCAGACTTTGAGGTGTGTCTTGTTCCAGTTTTAATATTCTTCGTCAGTTCCTCTTCTACATGTTGATGTCAGGGTGGAGAAAATTCTATGTGTCCACATAGTTTATCTACAGTATAGGCAAATGAAAATTTACATTTAGTAAATTACATTGAGTACCGTATACTCAATGTAAATTGTTCTAAACTTGACTGTGAAAAATATGATTTCTGTAATAGAGTTATCAAAGTCTGGAATGCCCCGCCTGATTCAGTTGTCTCAGCTACGAATTTTCAGTTTCAATCACAAATTGATTTCTGTGGGCCTTGCTTCATACTTAAGTGGTCAGAAGAGGGGGCAGGCATAAGTGCACCAATATGCCTATTGCCCCTGTCATTGTATTGTTATTATCTTGTTCTTGTTTTTGTTTGACAAATTTCAATCAATCAATCAACAAGTATAGAAAATCCAACTCCCCCCCAAAAAAAAAACAGGCATTGTCTGATCTATCAACAGTTCCCACAGAGAGTCAATATAATATTTATATTATATAATAAATATATTTAATAAAATGTAATATTTATTATATTTAAATAAATAATTCTCCCCAAGCCAAAACTGACTTGTTAAGAGGAAGATTTATCCTCATTAGAGATGTAGTAGGACACCCTCCTTCCCTCTTACCTCCAGCGCAGCTTTCAGTGAAGTTTATAGAGCATAAATCAGTTAGGATGGTAATTTGCATTTGACAATGACAAAAGAATATATGTTACACTTTTTTATTTGCTGTGAAAAAAGCAGTTCTTAATTTAAGTTTTTAAATTAGCATGTTAATCATTGTCATAATGTACAATTGTAAGACAAAGGCAACATCTTTTACGATGGTGGTTTGTTTGATATATGGGACGTATTTCCAGATATAGCCATGTAAGATTATACCATTATATTTCTTTTGCTATCTTGTTCTCTATTTTTTACTTGTTCCTTATTTATCTTGAATTTTTTTTTTTAAAAAAAAACTATGTCATTCTGGGCAGCTTCTAAACCTATTGCTGTTGCTGCTGCTGCTGCTACTGCTACTACTACTACTACTACTACTACTACTACTACAACTACTACTATTATTATTACTACTACTACCGGGACTACTCAGAATCAAGTTCTGTTTGCTCTTTTTTGTATTTTTATATATAGCCTGTGAGAATATCTTACATAGTTTCTTTTAATACTTTATGGTTAACAACCCAGAGAATTGTAAAGTCAGTAATTTCATATGCAGTGTAAGTTTTACTTTTACATGGTGATGTTTTCAGCAAGGATTGCTCTGAAACACTTGTTAAAACATTTTTATTGTAGAATTCCATGTTTTAGTCCATTTTATCTAGATATTGTGATTATTTCATTGTACTGCTCCAGCTTGCTAAGTACTTAGAGAACCCTCTGGTGAATTGATTTCACAAACAAATAATTAAACAATTCTGAAATTTGTTAGCAAAAAAAAAATCATTAATATATAAGATATATTTATCAATGGTAGTACATAACAACCCTTTCTGTTATTATTAGAATTATGTCCTGCTTCTCTTTCAGGGCCTAATTTATTAGGTGGTACAATACCATACCATGGAGAAGCAGTGAAATGTCTTTTGTAGGAGAATTTAATTGAAATTCTATATGCATTTTAGATTAGTTGATCTAAGTTGCATTTCCTGGACTATTGTGTAAATCAAAACAAGAGTTTCTCTTTGGATTCCGTACTTTTTCCAGATCTTACAGTATGGTTCTTGGCTCATCAGAAGGATTGCATTAATTAAAATTCAGTTTTTTGCATTTAAAAATATCAGATTTATTTAAATATTTAATGAATAGACACATTTAAGCATAAACACAGTTGAAACAATCCAGATATACAGTAGATAGATTAATGTATCTTTTTAAGGATGGTCAAGTTATTAAGGTTAATTTTGTTTGCATGCCATTAAGAGCCATAATAAGTCATAGATCATACAGCTGCTCTTATAGAAAGATCAATACAAATAAATGCTTAGAAATAGGGTTACTGCCTGCACTAAATTATGAAGTCTTTTTCTACTTCACTTGTATGAAGGGATATAGTAAAAGATAAACATGGTGTCCATAGAGCATAGAACCATGTATGAAACTCATGGGCTTTGTTGAAACGTTTTAAACAGCCACATTGATATGAGCATGGCAGGTTTCTAGAGATATTGAATGAAATGATTTCTATGGAACCTTGCACAGGTCAATCTACTTTAAAATCTTTACTAAGTTGAGATACTTATCTGCTTATTTACTACAGTCTGCCAATCATTACAAAATCACTGTGGTTACTGATGGGATTGATACTGCTTGCTTGCTTATTCTGTGTGCTGTATTTTTTCTTTTGAAAATTGCATCCTATTCTGATTCAAAGAAGCTCCATTTCAAGTATGATTGGCAGGAGCTCCTCTCAGTCCAATGGGGGAGAGTATCCACAGCAACAATGGAAGATTGAAGGGTCAATCTGCTTCCTAGTTATTTGATTGCTCTCAGTTGTTTCAGTTAAAATGGTGAGAAGTGATAGAGCTTTGAAGTTGCTTACGAAATGCTTCCTGCCATCCAGATGCAGCCTCCTGATTTTATCCAGAGCCAGAGAGTCATTGCACTAGTCCTCTACTTAAATAGTGCTGCATGGCATTATTTAAGTAATGGACTAGGATCTTAGAAACTCAAATTCACCCTCAGTTGTGGAAGTTTAGTGGGGTTTGGGGGCCAGTTAATCTCAGCCCAGCCCATCTGACAGTATTACTTCTGGGGGACAGGGGGAAATGCAGGAAGTTATGTTAAATATGCCTCCCTGAGCTTCTGTGGGAAAAGTGGACTCTGAATCTACTACTTACCCTGACTGTGGCGTCTTTCAGTTTAGGAAGTAAGAACAGATTATGGTGAATGTGCTGCATCCGGTTGTTGCCTCCTCAATTCAATCTCATATTTTCTTGGGACCACGTGGTTACCATGAGAGCCACGCAATTATGAATAAAACTCATAAATGACAATATAATTGCAGTTATTTTGTGTTATTACCTTTTTCTATTCTTTTTTTACAGATGAAGATGGCAAACAAATGCTGTTCTGCCTCGGACCAGGTAGGGTGTTCATTGTGTTATTCCTAGATATATGTGATTTCACATTTCTTTTTCAGTAGGTTTAAAAAGAGAGAGAGGGAGGGGGAGGGAGAGAGAGGGGGGGCAGTAATTATCCTACCAGTATGTTGCATTTCGTAGAGTAAGCAGGGAGGAAAAGTATGTTTAATGCCTGAAATAAGCCAGCTTACGAAGCAAAATTTCACTAAACAGAAATAGAATTTGAATGTCCTCAGAATAATTAAGTTATGATGACAAGAAAACAAGGGAAGGATTAGATATTTAGTTTGTAGACTTGCTTTGGAAATATAGTGCTTTTGAAAGATCTTCTTTTTATTATTTACTTTATTCTTAATTGTTTACCAATCATTCACCTTCATTTATCAAACATGTCTTATTTCCCTTTGCACGTAAAAGCAGATCACAGCCATTCTACGTGCCCTGGCCCAGTGGTTCTCAACCTTTTCTTCGCTCTGGACTCCTTTTAAGTAACTTTTGTGGCAACGCACTCCCAAGATTTAACTCAAAATTTAAATCATAACATTTCTTCAAGCCTTCATGGACCCCCCGTGACAACATCACAGCACACACACTCCAGGGTTTGCAGACCACAGGCTGAGAATCACTGCACTAGGCATTAAAAAGTCAACAAGCAATGAAAAACAGAAAGGGAGAAAAGCCCAGCTTATTTAATTTCTCTTCTACTCATCATTAGTCTTTGATTACAAGGCTCTGTACTCTTCCTTTTAATACGCCCAGCACCATTTGTGATAAGATTTATACCAGGGCTGTCAAGCTCGCCACCTGTGGGCCGGATGGGTCACGAGCTGGCCACGCCCACATCCGGTTTAGCAAAGCAGAGGAATTGCAATACGTCAGGTGATGATGTTGTAACAACCCAAGTTTGACACCCCTGGTTTACATAGTAATTACTTGTAATGTAATAGCGGACAAATAGTAGCATATTAGGCTATTTCTGCCCAGTTCCTTAGGAAAAAATTGTTTTGGAAGCTGAAGTCATAAGATTCTCTCCTCTGAGGAATGGGATAAAGAACTCACAGCTACTACCAGCACCATCACAAGATAAAGATCCTGACCTTTCTAGCTCTTTTCCCAGGATCAACCCTGAGAGTTACATCCCTGAGAAAACTATCACTGCTATGGTCGAATGGAAGAAGAAAGACGTAGTCTGTACACCTGTAATTAACATCTGAAAGAAAGTGTGCATATTTCTTTCATTCTCATAGCTTAAGGATGTCTGCATTTTCATAGCACAAACAAGGATGTGGATATGTTCCTGCTTTGGAAATTTGCACATGGAAATACCAAAGACATGATTTAACCTTTTTGTGTTTGGTTTCATATATATTCAGCCATACTTCAGTATATAGAGAGCATCTGTTCTTATATAAATAACTCAAATTCAACTCCTGACATCTTCAAGTAAAAACGGGAAAGGCTCGGCTGAGCAGCCTCTTTTCCCCCCAGTTAGATAGAAGAATGAGGGAGTTTCTTGTTTTCTTCATATTCGTATTGGAAATTGCATCTGGAATTCTCTTTGCAACATTTGCTTCTTATTATTTATCCTTGCTGTAAGTTCATCCCTTGAATTTGTAGCAGAACAGAATCTAATCTAAGACAAATGGGATCACTTTTTCAAAAGCAGAATTTGTTATCCTAATTGCTTTAAATTTCAGTATCAGCTATTTTTCTCGAGAAATCTATTGCATTTCTCAAATCTCTTGCAAGTCTATGAGATTTTTGTGGGTTTTGTTGTTTTAAGACTCATATATTTGCCTCAGCGTAGAAATGAAATGTCAAAACTGTAGCTTAAACTAGTATATCATCTTCTTGGAACCTGCCAAATGTTTACCTTTCCTGCTCTGCAAATATGAACATTTCTTGAGTCTGCTTTGTATGCTTTATCATAATGCTCAGAAAATAGAAAGTACTTATTTCTCTCTTATTTTAGAAGACAGCTAGATTTGTGACTCAATTTCTAACACACACACACCACTGGGCCACATTTTCGTGGTAAAATTTTGAATTAAAAAGAGCTAAGGTGGCGCAGTGGTTAAATGCAGCACTGCAGGCTACTGCTAGATCAGCA